AAAAAAAAAAAAAAAAAGTCAGATGCTATCTGATCATTATTTCCTGCTCCTGCAGAAAACTTAGAAGTGTTCTGTAGAATTTATCCCTAAATACTTTATTCTGGAAAGAGACAAAATTCAATAAATGGCAAAAATGATTTTATCAAAACTGGGCCTGCAGTCTCTGTTGTTTGTATTCTTGGATAGGAAGTCCCATTAGTCTCATACTACACCTGCTCTCCCTTAAATCCCTCCCCAAAAGGAAGCCAATAAACTGGAGTTTTAAGCCAGAGGCAGCAGGACAAGCTCCCATGGGACCAGAATAACTCCCAGGTACCTAGAGGCTGATGTTCAAAGGTGCCCCATAGAGCACAGGTGGGGGAGCCCCTCAGGGCTAAGTTTAGGCCTGTCTACCCACCTGCCCCAGACAGTAGCACAAGTCCCACAGGGTGACCATCCACTGAAGTGACCCACCAGGACACATGGGCACTCCTTCACACTCTGAAGTCACTTACCTCAAAGTGTTTCTCAATGATACGTAGAGCAGTCTGGCCAATCCGATGATTCTCGTGAAGTTGTAAAGCCTCAATTTTATCAATCCCACCAAGTTCTTCTATCAGAAGACACAAATTTTCCTTCTCAGACACTTTCTCTGCTGCCTGTGAGCAAGTTCAAGAGAACATGAGACCCTAGACAGGAGCCGCCCCTCAAGGGAGCTTCCCTCTGTGGAATCAGACCAAAGGTTACCATTCCAGAAGGGACAGTTTCACCTTTCCCAAATTGATGGAAAATTACATGATCTTCCTCCCATTTCAGAGATCTATGATATATATGTGCATATAAATATGTGTATATAGGCCAGGCATGGTGGCTTATGCCTATAATCCTAGCACTCTGGGACTCCAAGACAGGAGGATCCCTTGAGCTCAGGAGTTCAAGACCAGCCATTGAGCAAGAGTGAAACCCCATAGCTACTAAAAATAGAAAACTTAGCTGGGGATTATGGTAGGTACCTGTGGTCCTGGCTACTAGGGAGGCTGAGCCAGGAGTATTACATGAACCCAGGAATTTGAGTTTTCTGTGAGCCAGGATGATGCCACAGCACTCCAGTCTGGGTAGCAGAGTGAGATTCTATTTCAAAAAAGGAAAAATGTTTATATACAAATATAAATGTATGTTTTTACATTTATATTTATTGTACAAAATGCATTATTTCCAGACTATCAGTTTATAGAGTTTTTTTGGCCAAATATAGTGCCACCCACAAATAATTATAATTATATAGGAGATATCCCCTTATAATTAATAAACTTTTTTTTTTTTTTTTTTTTGAGACAGAGCCTCAAGCTGTCCCCCTGGGTAGAGTGCCAGGGCATCATAGCTCAAAGCAACCTCAAACTTTTGGATTCTAACAATCCTCTTGCCTCAGCCTGCCAAGTAGCTGGAACCATAGCCGCAATGCCCAGGTAGTCTTTTCTATTTTTAGAAATAGGCTGGTCTCAAACTCCTAAGATCAAGCAATCCACCCGCTTTGTCCTCCCAAAATATTAGGGTAACAGGTATGAGCCACCACACCTGGCTGGAAGGTCTAACAGATTTTTAATGTATATTACTTTGCCAGGAGAGCTACCAAAGAAGGAACAAGGACACAAGTTTGAAGGAATACAAATGCCACCCATTATGCAAAGGGAGGAGGTAGTTCAGCTAAACAGCAATATTTGGGGGAAGTGGAGAAAGGCAGCACTTGATGTCATATCCTAAAGAGTGCTATTATTTTGTGAACAGTAATTTTTTTAAAAGTCCTGGATAGGCATCTCAAAAAAAAAAAAAAAAAAAAAGAAGAAGAAAGAAAGAAAAACTGGGCAGTGAAGGACAACCCAGGGTGGTTGCAGCCCTAGAGAAGGATTTTAGA